CTAAAAATTAGAAGATAGTGCAAAAGTCAGGGTTTTAATTAAAAATAAATCAAGACATTACAGAAAAATACTTCTAATTATATGAAAGAATAGTAGACATAGATTGCATATTAATTTCCCAGAAATTTGTAGTAGAAGATTTATGCTATGATTATGACCATTCTCTGTATACTCTTGTAAAGAAAACACTATTCAAAAAATTGCTCCTACCACCTATTTCCAGCCCTTAGAGAGGTACTTAAAATACAAATTGCGCTTTTTACAGAAATTTTAAACAAGGCCATATATTAATGTAACTTTTTCCAGCCTTGTTCAATTTTGAAACGATGCTCGAGTATTATGGCTTATGCTTTATCACACTAACTATAAAATATTTTAACTATTATAAAATCCATTATCCTTACTTATAGATGAGAGACTATGCAAATATATCTAAATATTAATTTAGATCAAAGAGTGATGTTTGTTATAAAATATATTATCCATCTTTGGATCTATAAGCTTGGCATTCAGCATCCAATATAATTAATAATAAAGTAAGGCACACAACTCTAGCTTTCAACTCCCACATATAAGTTAAAAGGCAATGAGCAGCTTTCCAAAACCGATTAGTTCGATAAATGGAAATAAAATGTAACAGTTTCAAAACGTGACTTACGGTTTATGCAGTGTTCTATTTCAGAATTATTAGTAGTAGATCGATAATTTTGATAGACAGTTGTGACGACTTCCATCTTAATGCAGATAGACTAGTGTTACTTTTTTCCCTTTCAAGTCGGCAATTTAATCCTCATTATCTTCACTCGCAGGATGCATTCTGCGATTTTGGACAAATGATGAGCACCATTAAAAGTATCGTTCATTAAGAATATTTATTTCTCGTTTAAAAGTTGCTTCTTCTGTATTTGCCTTCCGGTATTCGTATCTTTGTAATGAACCTGACAATGATACGCCTTTATTTCCGTAATGATACGTTCGACGTAGTTTGCGAAAATACGTACAAAAATGTAGGCAGATACGAAGAAATGGATTGAAGTTTGCTTTTTTTTAAAAATAATTTCGTATAAAACCATCTTAGATTTAGATTTAAATAGTGCGATTATGTTATTCACACGTTGCTGCTTTGATACTCAAAATATGTAACTGTGAAATAATATCATTATTAAAACGTCAATTGTTTAAAAAATTTTAGAATGCATGCCATAGCAATAACCAAAATTATTTAGTTAAGTTATTGCAAATCATTATTTCAGAAAAAAAAAGTTTTTTTTTCAGGGTCCCCAAATAAAGCTACGATAAAAACACCCACACGACTTTCTAACTTTAACAACACACAAAAAATAACTAGTAATTTATTTAATTACCGTTTTATCAACCAAACTAAAACATTGAATCAAAACAGTAAAATAATCATTAAAATGATGGTTAACTCTGAGAAAAATAGTTTCTTGATGTTTTTGCCTATTACTGTTGAATGATGGAGGAAAAAAATAGCGATTATTACCTCCATGGGTAAAACAAATATCCGCGCCAACTAGACTCACCTTATGAAGTCATCAAATTCCTTGCAGGTGGGTTCATAATTTAATGGTTCGAACCACAGCATTAACATCATAATATTTTCCGCATTCCGTCATTACATGAAGAGTTTCTATTACCCTACACTCCCCAATTAGTAATCCTAGACAACTGAAATACGAAACAGAGCAGCTTTGCACAAAATTATGTAATATTCTCCATCTCTCACGATAGATGGCACCACAATATAAACTAATTAATAAAATTCCACAGTTGAGAAAACACAATTCTACCATACCAATCTCCATTACCTAACGAAAAGTCTAACATAACCCCAATATCTAGTTAAAATTCATTTTTGTGATTTCGAAACAATTATTAAAAAAGTATGCAATTATTAAAAATTACTAAAAATTACCACAGATTTAGTAAAAAATATAAAACTGAAAAGCAAAATTAACCGAATAAATAGTTT